ACAAGATGTTACACAATGCTTTACATGTTGTTATTATTGTGCATTAAGATAAAATGCAGCAAAGGAAAATGAGAAAAAAACAAACAGTTAAATAAATACAAATAAATTAAAGTAGAAAGGGTGCATTTTAGAACTATTGGGCCCCATGGCTGGAATTGGCTGGCCCCCAAATCACTAAATCCCCCCCTGCCTATAAAGTAGCAATTCAATATTACATACTATATGTATTTATTACACTCATAACTGTTAAATAGATTCTACTGCTTACTAGTATTAAATGATTAGCTACTAACACCCATTCAATAATTAGTGCACATATTTATATTAAGTGAGTTTAACTACTTACATGAGGTACTTACATTGTACACTGAAAAAAAAAAATATTCAAAGGAGATTGCTTGGATTATTACACTTTTTTGAGGTATAAGTTGTAAACAATTTATTTGGACTAAATTTAAACAAGTCAGGTTGAACATTACTAAATTTAATTTGTTAATTTAATTTTAACCCATATTAATTGTTTGGAACAATTTTGCAAAAAAAAAAAAAAAAAAAAAAAACTTCAGTGTACTATGTACTTATTGTGTTCTTATTATGTTTCTTAACACTCAAGGTGCTATTGAGGTGCACTGTAAGAAAAAAAAAATCGTAAAAAAAAGGTCAAATGACTGGCAGCTACGGCTGCCAAACAAAAACCATAAAATTACGGTAAAATTTCTTTGTTGAAATAAAGTGCAAAAAATAATAAATCTACAGATATTTTCATTAAAATGTTTACAGAAAAACACTGTTATTTTAAAGACTTTTCCTAGATTATTACGATCAAATCCGTTCAATAAAGTTACACACTAAGAGTTTTACAAAGAAACACTGTTATTATATAGACTTTTCCTAGATTATTTTGATCAAACACCATCAATAAAGTGACTGCACTAAAAGTTCAAGAGATAACAATGTTATTTAAAAGAATTTTCCCTAAATCATTACGATTAAACACCTTTAATAAAATGCCAAGACATGCTCATGATCGTAATTTAACAGTTTTATTTTGGATCAAAAATTTTTGGAAAAAACAACAAACGAGATCAAACTGATTAAAATTCTCACAACTTTAAAATTACAGTTGTTAAATTTTATTGAATAGTGTTTATGTAAAACCATAGAGGTTTAAGTTATTTGGAATGATTCAGTTCCAAATCTTAAATGAAATGGAACTGTAATGTGAAGGGGACTTTGACAAAGGAGTGCAGATTCAAATGCAAGTTTGTTACACAGAGATGGTTAGGCAAACATGCAGTTTGCACAGGGGCAAACAGATGTAACATTATGCAGGGAATCCAGAGTCATGGTCAAATAACAGGCAAATGGTCAGTCCCGGCAGCAAACAATTAACAAACAAAGCAAGGCAAAGGAAGAGAACTGCATCATAATGTTCACAGTAACCGTATAACAAGACTAAGCAATTGGTTTATGCTGCTTTTAAAGCGCATGTAATCAGTTCATAACGATCCTCCGACTGTGTGTGTGCAATCAGCGGAATCCGGAACAGGTGCATGTGAGCGCTCTTATAGTGTGTAACTTTATTAAACAGATTTGACTGTAATAATCTAGGAAAAGTCTGTAAAATAACAGTGTTTTTCTGTAAACATTTTAATGAAAATATCTATTATTTTTTGCACTTTATTTCAACAAAGAAATTTTACCATAATTTTATGGTTTTTGCTTGGAAGCCATAGCTGCCAGTCATTTGACCTTTTTTTTTTTTTTTTTTGTTTTTACAGAGCAAGTAATTACAATTTATTACTTTAATTTTACGTAATTTTAAATGTACTTCAAAAAAAAAAAAAAACAGGAAAAAACACTGTAAATAATATGGCAATTTTATTGTATAAAACAGACAAACTGCTGTAATTTGTCATTAATTATATAGTACATAAAATAACAGTCAAGCTGTTAATTTACAGATATTGTTTGTAATTTTTACGGATTTTTGAATATAATTTAAAATAACAGAAAAAATACTGTATAAATAATACTGTAATTTCCCTGTATAAAAAAAACAAAAATGTCAGTAATTTTTCTTTAATAATAAAGTACCTAAAATGAAAGTCAAACTGTTAATTTAGAGAGATTGTTAGTCATTTAACTAAGTTCTACATATAATTTTAAATGACAAAAAATTACTGTATCAAATTTAGGGATATTTTCTGAAAAATTTGTTTTTTTTTTACAGTGCATGATTGCAATATACCTAGCAATTAATTTACATGTAAGTACATTGTTTTTAAGGCCACTTAATATAACCCTTTGACTGCCCGCTCTACCAAATTGTTAACCATGTTTTTACAGTTTTAATAAATGACTGTTAAAGTTTCAATTGATGGTTTACACACACAGCATTGTTTATTTATAAAAAAAACAAAACAAAAAAATCAAACTAACATAATCCTGTTGCACTGCTACACTTGACTTTGGTTTTATTGTAAAAAAAATAAACAAGAAGACACGTTTAATGAGAATCTGACATATTTTTTCATGTCATACTTCAAAAAATAAAGATGGTTTAGTATTCAAAAATGTTTTATTTTAAATATTTTTAAAAATAAGTTGGTTTTACAATTCATATTTTCATATGTTTCATGGTACATGTATTGAGCCAGGTACTTTTACCATAAACTGACATATCAACCATTTAACAGAGGCTGATACTTTAGTAATTATGGGATGTGTTGAAAAAAAATGCATTGAGTGTGTTAACTAGCGACATTAAAAGTTAAGAAATGCAATCCAAATTTTTTTTCTTGGTGGGGTAGTATAGGTGGGACTCTTATCTGATATATGATTTGTATTTTAGAAGATGATTTAGTACAATTTTTTTTTTTTACTGTGGTGACCCCAGATTAATAAAGGGACTAAGCCGAAAAGAAAATGAATGAATAAATGAAGGAAAGATTGAATGAATGAATGAATGAAAGAATAACTGAGTCATAATCAGTCTGCACACACACACACACACACACACACGCACACACACACGCACACGCACACGCACACACACACACTATTGTTTTGGGTGAGACTCTGACAAATTCAGAATTATAGAAAATGTTGAACACAGGCTGTTAAATACTTCAGCAATTTTGCCTGATTAGCGGATTTAAGCATTATTTTCTGGGATTTGTGCGCAATTAAACCTGATTTCGACTTTTACAATACTTTTTACTCACTCATCTTGAAATGAAAATTACTTGTTTTGCATTTAAATTTGTTCTATCTTATCAGAAGTAAAACTAAATTTGTGCTTTAGTAAAAGTATTGCTATAATATAATTTTCTCAAGTTCAAATAGTGTAATATGACCCTAAGTTACTACACTCTTTTGCTATTTGTTTCTTTTATACCCAAATGAAAGAATGCAACAGTACTTTGCAGTAAATTCAATATTGTTTATGAGCCAAAGTAACGTTTATTATACTGTACAATGTATATTATAGCATAAACAACACTTTGTTAATGAATATAAGGGAGTAATACCTAGTGAACTGACAAACTGTAATAAATAATTGTAAAGTTGCTTTATCTTTTAAATACAGTAAGCTCTGGTGTATTGTAGTGTATTATATATTCATATATAATAATTATATAATAGTGTAATATATAATATATATATAGTAAACTTAGAACAGGTGTGCACGGTGGTGCAGTGGGTATCACGTTCGCCTCACAGCAAAAAGGTCACTGGTTCGAGCTTTGGCTGGGTCAGTAGGTGTTTCTTTGTGGAGTTTGCATGTTCTCCCCGTGTTGGTGTGGGTTTTCTCCGGGTGCTCCGGTTTCCCCCACAGTCCAAAGATATGCACTATAGGTGAATTAGGTAAGCTAAATCATCCATAGTGTATGAGTGTGAATGAGTGTGTATGGATGTTTCCCAGTGATGGGTTGCAGCTGGAAGGGCATCGGCTGTGTAGAACAGATGCTGAATAAGTTGGCGGTTTATTCCCCTGTGTAGCGATCCCACATTGATAAAGAGACTAAGCAAAAAAGAAAATGAATAAATGAATGAAACCTATAGGTTTATTGGTTTGTATTATAGTTGTATTACCAAAGCAAATACAGAAGTACCTAACACATTATTTCTAAAAGGACTTCACTATAGTTCAAAAAGTAAAATACTATAAATTACTACTATAGTATTTTAATGAGCCGGATGGTGCTTATTTCTGAAATGAGAGTAAAAAAACAAAAAAAATGCACAACATTAATAGAAATAACTAATATGGAGAAAGGCATGCAGACATTAGCTGATTATGTTGACACATAATTACTTAATATGTCATTTATTTTATATTTCCTTTGAGCTCTCTTGAGAATTTTCATGAAAATTATGTTTTCATAATGCAATGCTAATTGCAAATTGTCATCACAGTATTTAACTCTGTACGAATTTTATAATTATTAGTCTTCATAAATGGTCATATTTTGATGCTATGAAAAACAGATAAACCAGCCAGCCCTGTTTCCAAGAGCACTTATGCTTTAGAAGTCATTTTGAAAAGTAAGTCAATGCCGTGACATCAGGAGCTGCCAAAATCATCATGCAAAATCAGAATATAAGCACAAAGATTTGTTTGCATTTAATCAAACATTGAAACTTTAGTACATTTTTATATGCTCTTTAGTGAATGTACCTTTTTAACAACCCCAAGTATCCTTTTCTCTCTTTATTTAAGTGAATGAATATAAAATAAACTTTTTGACAAAGCTAAGCAATACCATAAAACTATACCCTCATAAAGTTAGTTTTATTTACAACTACTAAAAACTAAAAAATTTCATTTTTTGATAAGTGACATTTTTTAATACACAAATAAATGCAGTTCTGTAACAAATGCCATACATTAAAGTATTTTTTATCTACAGTTATTGAACATATGACACAAAAAAGCACACAGAATGAGGATTATTTTTCAGGTACAATCAATTAAAAATCAGTTGCCATTTTTTTCTGAAAAAGCCCAGAGTCTGCTTTCAAAAACGATCAATGTACTGCACATTAACTTTTGCACATATTTACAAATGAACTTGTATTTCTCATGCTTTTCAGGAGATAAAGAATAAAGACAAAACAAGTTAAAAAAAAGGATGGTCGATAAAAACCATGTGATTAATAACCGGCTTTTACTTGAATGAAACTCTGGCTTGCTTCTTTAGGAGGACAGTTTCCTAAAAAAGAAAATAAACAAACTTTAGAAATTCAGTGAGAAGTTTGTTGAAATTACAACAGCGCTAATCAATAAACAAGCATTCAAATGTTTGTGATCTCAATTTGAAGGAACAGATCACCCTAAAATTAAAGATTTCTCACCATTTACTCACATTCAAGTTCTAAACATTTTTGCTTTCTTGTTAAACACAAAACACTGTATGAACAAAAAGTATATATATATATATATATACATTGTAATTGGTTCAGATAAAAGTAAAACAAATAGCCTTGGCTGGTTTACTGGCAGTTGGTGGAGTCAGTATGGACTCTTTGGAGAATCCAAGAGCTGTTGCATACGCTCTGAACTTCTCCATCAAATCAGCCTTCAGCTTCTTAGCACGACCTAAAATCATATTAAAGACAGAGCAAAGTCAGAAGTACACTTGAGTTTACTATAAAACAGTTCAGAAACACACCTAAATGTACTAAAAAACACAGTTCAGAAATATGCTTAAGTTTACTACAACCCCAAATCAGAAAAAGTTTTGATGAAAACGCAACAAAAAAAAAGAAAAAAAAAGGAAGAAGTGATTTCTAAAGTTACTTTGACTTCTATTTCATTGCACACAATAAAACAGTACATTTGTTTCTCATGATTTTCTTTCTAAATGAACACATGTTCCAATTTCCAACACATTTTAAATAAAGTTAAACAGTAAAACATTTACCACTTTGTAACGCTGTCACCCCTTTTCACAACACTCATTTAGGGACTGAAGACACCAAGTGATGAAGTGTTTCAGGTGTAAATTTTTTCCCATTCTTCCTTCTTGAGGTGGGCAACAGTACGGGGTTTTTGTTGTCACATTTTGTGCTTCAAAATGCGCCAGACATTCTCTATCGGAGACAGTTCAGGACTGCAGGTAGGCCAGTCAAGTACCTGTATCCGCAGCCAGGACTCTATAATGTGTGCAGAATGCGGTTTTGCATTGTCTTGTTGACATATTCATGGGCATTCCTGAAAAGGCAGCATACTGTGCACAAAAATCTCTATGTACTTTTCAGCATTAACAGTGTCATCCCGAAAGTGCAAATTACCTTTGTGCAAATTACCAAGGGCACTGAAACAAACCCAAATAGCATGACAGACCCTGGCTTTTAGACTTGTTGCGGGTGAAAGTCTGGATGATCATTTTCTTCTTTTGCCCAGTGTTCACAGAGCATCAATTTCTCCCCCCAAAAAACTGAAATACTGATTCATCTGACCACAGTATGCTTCCACTGTTTGATGGTCCATCCCTCATGCCTTTGAGCCCAGATAATTTAATGCTGCTTCTGGACACTGTTAACATAGGGCTTCTTTTTGGCACAATACATTTTACACTGGCATTTGTGGATGTAGCTATATATTGTGGTACATGACAAAGGTTTGCCAAAAATAGTCCTTAGCACATGTGGTGAAATCGCTTATATTATAGATAAATGAGGATGCAATGCCACCTGAGGGATCGGAGATCCTGATAGTTCAGCTTAGGCTTGCACCCTTGTCCTTTGCAAACTGAAATTCCTCCAGATTCCTTGAATCTATTAATGATGTTATACGGTGTTGGTGAAATATCCAAGTGCCTTCCTATCTTTCTTTGAGGAGCATTCTTTTTAAAATTTCTCATTTTCTCATGTAGTTGTTGGGAAATCGGCAATCCTCACCCATCTTTGCTCCTAAAGGACTAGGCCTTTCTTGGATGCTGTTTTTGTACAAAAACATACATACAATCACATGTTGACATCACCTGTTTCAAATCACATCATTATTTAACCAATTAACCTAATTACTAGCCCTAAAACTGCTCCGGTTCAGTTTTGCAGGTCTGAATGACAGGATAGAATGTATATTTATAAATGAAATGAAGTTGACCGGACAAAATATTTAATATGTTTTGTTCATATTGTCTGCAATGAAATACAAGCCAAATTAAATTTGAAAATCGCTACTTTCTTTTTTGTCATACTGTCCCAACTTTTTCTGATTTAGGGTTGTGTAAAACACAGTTCAGAAATACACCCAAGGCTACTGTAGAACAGTTCATTAATACACTTGAGTACACTTCACATGAGTTCAAGAGATAAGTTAAAAATGCTGATTCATCCAATAATGAAACAAGTAAAGATTTATTGAGTGAGCCACTAAATCATTGATGTAAAGTGTGATGCTCCATAGTGGTGCACCATGGTATTTATTACAGTCTCACCATAAAGGGACACTTGTGTGTATTCCTTGTTCATCTTCTTGTGTTTGACGACCATGGCATATTCACTGTAGTTTGTCTCCACCACAGTAACATCTTTCATCCTTCTATGACCTTCAAATTACAACAGAAACTAAACTGTATTGTTCTGTTTTCATGCGTATTTGTGTTACAATGTCTCATATGTTCTGTGGACTCACGAGTGCTGTAGTAGTTAAATACGCCGGACACAGACGTCTTCTCATAAATGTAGATCTTTTGCTTACAACCAGACGAACTGCATAAAATAACACAAATGAAATAATCATTATCATCATATAATATCAGAATATAATATTTTATAACGTATACTACGTGAATGACAAATGCATGATTCTGATTGGCTGATTAACATTCTAATGTGCGTATAAAATAAATGCACAGCCACGTGGTTCATTTCAGTTCCATATCATTACACTGAATAATTTAGTTTATTTTTTGACAGCACCCCCCCCCCCCAAAAAAAAATAAAAATAAATAAATAAATCAAAAATAAAAAACAAAAGGCTATTGCTAAGATGTGTGAGAAACTAGTATAGTATGGTATGAGGATAAGAACCTGAGCAATGTTTTGAAATGGAACATCTAAACAAAATGTTTACATCAAAATATGAGAATTAGACTGATGCGCAAAACGGGAACATCACATAACATAAAACATTTGCAAGGAACAAAATCGTCACTTCCTGATAAATTGCCATGTTATATATATATATATATATATATATATATATATATATATATATATATATATATAAAGGGTAACTCTTTGGTTTGTCACAATTCACGGTATTTACAAACCATTAGCTACTAGCTTAAAAAACTATTACTTAGCAATTTATTAATAAAAAGGTAGAAGTTGGGTGTAGGTTATTGGTAGGATTATTAATGCAAATCATACTTTATAACCACTAATGAACTGTTAAAATCCTAATAATCTTCAGTTATTAATAGTTCATAGCATGAATTGTGACCTAAGCTAAAGTGTTACCGAAAATGAAGTCTGCTGTTTACCGAAAATGAAGTCACTGTTGACCTTTATTCATATATTATAAATGACTTGCACCCTAAATGACCTTTCCACCACCTCGGGTATGGATTTTTTCCGAATAATTCAACAGCCATGTCAATTATTCTTTACATAATGTAATATAATACAATATGATGGCTAATAAAACACAAACTATGAGGTACGAGGGTGGAATTGATAGAAAACACTCCTAAATGTGAATGAGTCTTGCTCACGTTAAACTCCACATGGTCATGTTGACGTTCCCGTTGTCCTGTGGCTCCACTGTGCCCATAGAGATGGTGACTTTGCTTCTGTGTGGCACAAAACCTGGAGAATCGTAGGCCAGACCGATCCGATACCACCTCCCTGCAAACTGAACAAACACATCACAGCTTACTGCACACCGATGTCACATCTCAAGACTATGTTTGACAAGAATGTTTTGGATGACAATGTCCAAACAGTATCAGATAAAGAAGCTGGTTATGTTCTGTTCTCCTTATTCACGAGTCCTTTTATGCTTTTTTATACATACAGCTTCATTTAGAGCATAACTTTGTTGCTTGAGAATTAAAAATATCTTCAGTGTTACACAACACAGTCACTTCAAGGCTTTTGGTTGTTGGTGTCACTGCAAAACAACAGTTTTTGTCCCATTTGCCACAAGTAGATGAGCATGTCCACACGTACATGGGTATTTTTTACAAACTTTCCTTTAAAAATAATCTCAGTCCACATGCCTAACAGGTGGCGTTAATCACACATTGATGCTGGGTCCACACCAAATGGGGTGTTAAGTATTTGCACGAGTAAATAGCATATAGAGTAGGTTAATGCAATTGTGAGAACAGAGAGGGGATTACCGTCCCGTGTGCGAATGACCCGAAATATGTGACGAATGTGTGGAAGTTTGCTCCAATTGCATCTTTCCACATTTGGTGCATTGCTATCCATGTGTGCTGTGTTTACCTGACATGCTTGATGAGTGGGTTGGGAGATCAGGCTCATTTGCATTTAAAGGCACAGGTGCTAAAACAGCTAAGATTCCATCTGACTCAAACAAATCAACATTTTATATGTGGTCTTATGGATATTTTGAGCTGAATCTTCACTGACACATTCTGCAGATACTGTACCATAGACTTATTGTACATCTCGTAAAAAGGGTATAGGGGCCCTTTAATTAAGCCCAAAGTATATTAGTTTATGTAGAAAAGGCACAAGGTCCAGAAATTTTCAATGGATAATTTTCATTTTGTAGTTCCATGTTATTGGGCTTAAATAAATAAATATCTCATCTCATCTCATTTTCGTCTGCTTCTCTCGGGCCGGGTCAGGGGGGCAGCGGTCTTAGGAGAGAACCCCAGACTTCCCTCTCCCCAAACACTTCCTCCAGCTCCTCTGGGGAGATCCCGAGGTGTTCCCAGGCCAGCCAAGAGACATAGTCCCTCCTGTGTGTCTTGGGTCTTTCTCGAGGCCTCCTCCTGGTGGCATGCCTGAAAAACTTCTCTAGGTAGGCGTCCAGGAGGCATCTGAAACAGATGCCTGAGCCATTTTAGCGGACTTCTCTCGATGTGGAGGAACAACGGCTCTACTCCAAGCTCCTCCCAGGTGACAGAGCTCCTCACCCTATCTATAAGGGTGTTCCCTGCCACCCTGCGAAGAAAACTAATCTTGGCTGCTTGTATTCAAGATCTTGTCCTTTTGGTCATGACCCAAATCTCATGACCATAGGTGAGAGTAGGAACATAAATTGACTGGTAAATCAAGAGCTTTGCCTTTCGACTCAGCTGCTTCTTTACCACAACGGACTGATACATTGACAGGCCCACCACCTGCAGGGGGAGCCATAAGGGGCCAGTGCATTGTGGAAAGGGTGGTGGTGGAATGTTATGACCACGACAACCCAATCGTCGGGCACAGAAACAAAAAAATCTATATAAATAAACTGAAATAGCAAGATATCTACAAATTCTAAACTTTACTATAAAATACAATTAAACAACACATACCTTCTAGTCAATATAAAAGTTTTACAACTATTCCAACCAAGATATTTTTGTTCTTCCAACAATAAATTGAATTTAATTTTGGATAAATTAAATATTAAATTCATTGTTTTCCCATGCAGGATTTTAGATTAAACATAGTAGTAGACATCCGTGATGTCACTGTTTTCACAAATGTCCTTTTTTGTAGTTCATGCAGAGTCAATAACGATATGCTGTAATTTTAAAAAATGCACTTTGAAATGCCTTTTCAACAGTTTTTTTTCATATCAATATTTAGTTGTTTAATTATCCCCCTAGTTTTATATCTGTTTTTGAATCCAACGTGTGCTCATAAAACAAACAGCATATCAGGCTCTAAAATACATCTACATTTTCTGTTTACATGAAAAAATATATACATGAAAGTTCCTGAACTAACCAAAGTACAAACTGTGAATGCTCTGCTACCTCCTTTAAAGTGGTTGGGGAGAAGTAGCCCATTAGCCTATTTTTAGACACATACTATGAATTTTACTATTTTAGAAAGGGCATAACAAGACCCCTTTATAAAATGTCTCAATATCCAGAAATCAGGCGTTTCTTGTTGCAACACTGAATGAGTGACCCTTGGCCTGAGCTCTGTTTGTTGGCTCTGTCTCTACTGTTAATGTAATCTCTGATGTCGTTCCCTCAAGCTGCTATCTAGTCCATTACTACACTGTAAAAATATCTGTTATATTTTGTTTGTATTTTGTAATTCACAAGTGTTGTCCATTTATTAACGATTTTAAATTACATTATGGGACCTTAATCTCTGCAATGTCGAATTTTGATGCTAAAAATTCTAATTCTTGAGTTATTGGACTATAATGACAAAAAATAATAAATAAATTGCAACTGAACTGTTCAATTATAGAGAAATAAGTTAGTAAACAGAAAACGTACAGGACGTTTATTACTACATACATACAACACCAACACTGACAATATATAACTGTAATTTTAATCTTTTCGAGATTAAAAGTTGTCAGAATAAAGATCAAGGTCCCATAATGCAATTCAAAAGTATAATTAGTCAAGGAAAAATAACAAATATAAACATTGAGTCCCCAAAATAACTATGGATATTTTTTACATAGTATAATCTCAACGCAAACTAACAGTGTGTCAATGTTAGTGTTGAAATCACAAACATCTTTAACATCTAACTAATGTCATATAAAACACCATTCAGCTTTTAGTTTAAAGGGACAGTTCACACAAACATGAAACTGTACTAAACATTTATTCACATCAAGTGGTTTATTTTCTTCCTGTTGAAAAAGTAGGAAGATATTTAAAAAAAATTAGGAAACAGTAACTTAACAGTTTCCAACATTCTTCAAAATATCTTCTTTTGCGTTCAACAGATGACAGAAATAGTTTTAGTAAACGCTGACAGATCTTTGACTTTGGGAAAACTACTTCTTATAATCAGACAAAATATATACTCACTTTTCAAACTACATGTGTTTTTACTACCAGTCTTATAAATAAAAACATCTGAAGATCTTTTTATAAAGCTGTAGTCTCCAAAATACTGTTCTTACCCTCTGAAGATCAAAGTTTTTCTGCGGTTGGACATTGGCATGGACTTCTTTCAGAATCATCAGCAAAAAGATGGTGACCTTCATAGTTACGTTGTAGAGACCAACACAGCCAGGGATTGTGGACTACTCAGGGTCTGCCAGCCACGTCGACTCCGCCTCCTTAGCAATCCAGCCAATCGCCTGCAAGAACACATCTAACAGAGAGACCATTCAAGGTACTAAAACTCATCACAATTTCCAGCTCAGTTTCTTGCTTGTCCACAACATTATGTTTGATTCAAGATGCAGTAAAGAGGAATGAAGATCCGAGAAATCAAAGATTTTTATTTATTTTTTTATTAATATTGATTCATGGATACCATTGTTTTGAAAGAGCATGATTTACAGCTAGTCTTTCATACAAGAGGACTTCAGTGTGACGCGGCACACCTCACACACCTCCTCTACATAAACACACACAAGTACACGCACGCACACACACACACACACACACACACACACCCTTCTCTCATCTACCCCTGCATGTTGTTCCTGAGTACCGAACAGAAATAGACAAAACAAGAACTGCATTAATGATCAATCTTTTATGGAAGCTTGTTTACACCATGGATTAATAATAATAATAATAATACAGTTGACTGTGATATTTGAAATCTTAAAGCTTTGATTATTTTCTTGTAATTACACATTTTATCCTGCAAATTTGAGCAAAATGTGAGATATGAGCTCAGGGATATACAGATTGTAAGATATAAACAGATTTTTTTTCAGTTTATATTTCTTAATTATGACTTTTTTCCTCACAACTGGGATTATCCCGTCTTTAAAATTTCCCCCCAGAAATGGCAAATTTATATCCTCATCATTTCAAGTGATGATTAGCAAGCTTATATCTCACATTTGCAGGTAAAATGTCAAACTGAGATCGTTTTTGCCTCAGAAATGCAAATGTAAATGTCAAAAATGTGAGAACTGAACTCATCAGAGCAAAATAAAAACAAAAAAATCTACATTTATATCTACAAAATTGACTTTTTCCTGTATTTTTAAAAACTTCAAATAAAATCTGATTTATATATACTGATCAAAAAATAAATAAATAAAATAAAGAGAACACTTGGAGTTACATTGTGTTGTTTAAGTGGTCCCTTTATTATTATTTTTTGAGCAGTTTGTATAATTTTAGATTTCAGATATATATATATATATATATATATATATATATATATATATATATATATATATATATATATATATATATATATATATATATATAATATTATTTTGTATATAAAGTTGAAGTTAGAATAAAAGAAATTTAAAACTTTTTAAAAACCATTTTAAGGTCAAAATTATTAGCCCCTTTAATTTTTTTCAATAGTCTACAGAACAAACAATCGTTATACATTAACTTGCCTAATTACACTAACCTGTCTAGTAAACGTAATTAACCTAGTTAAGCCTTTATGTGACTTTAAGCTGTATAGTCTTAAAAAAATATCTGGTAAAATTTAGCTTAATATCATCATGGCAAAAGATAAAATAAATCAGTTATCACAAATGAGTTATTATGTTTAGAAATGTGTTGAAATAAATCTTCACTCTGTTGAACAGAAATTGGGGTTGGGGGGCTAATAACTCTAACTTCAACTGTATAGGTCTAAATTCACACTTGTAAAAAAAAAAGAACTGCAATTCTGAGAAGAAAAGTCTGAAATCACAAGATATAAACTCAAATAATTCCAATTATACTTTTTGCAACTTTTGGTTGTTTTTACAGTAGATCACAATTAACATTTTTATTTATATTTTCAATTTATAACCAGCAGCAGAAACAAGCTTTCATAGTTTTGTGAAAAATGACACATTGGTACAATTTAAAAACAAAATCATGTAAAAAAAAAAAAGATAAAAAGAAAGCAGTTATCCTCTTGAACAAAACCTGACTTCATTGGCTTTGGTGCTCAATAAAACAAGAAAACTTGTGTTGACTGAACATGGTCCTTTAAAGCTATTGAAAAAGCAAATAATAAGAACAAAAGTTAAATAATTAAGTTAAAAATAAACATCTGAAATCCCTCATAAAATCACGATTAACAATTAACACGTTTTTGGAGGCAAATCAGCCGTTGTGAGCATGATTTGTGGAATGAGCACCACAACCTAGTGGACAGACATGTGAACAACATGGCATTTACTACACAAGATCACCTTAAGAAGAATCAGACACACACTTGCACACACACAAACTGATCTGTGGAAATGTTCACATTCAGACCGAGAAACAGAAAATGGAGTGTAATTGTTTTTTCAGTGAAAAAAATACACAACAATTTAAAACAAAATAAATAAATACAAAATTATTCACAGCACTGGCTGTCATGTTTCAAACAGCTAATGAATTTATATGGAAAACAATATTATTAATGTGATTATAAATAAAACCCAGCAATCCCTCTTAAAACAAAGCTGAGTGGATATTTGTTTGTGTGTGTGTCTGCAAATGTGTGTCATTGTATAACACTTTAAATGGACTGTTTTTATTGAGTAAATGTGAAAGATTGTTCATTACGGAGTGTACTGTCCTTTAACTAAACAAATCATCAAGAGAGGCCTCAGCAAATGCTTTGCTGTCATAGGACACAAACTCAGAAAATATCATCGCAAAGAAAAGAAAATGTCTGTAAAGCAGATTTCAGACATCACATTGTGTCTAAAATAAATAACTCAGTGCATAAGATGTGTTTTCCCTCTCTTTCACATGGCCAGAACGAAAACAAGAAACGCCAACAAGCTTAACGGACAACCAAAGCTCAACCCACAACAAATTATTACACTTCATTTGTTTACAAAATAGTTTTTCTTAAAAATCCAAGTGAGAAAGAAAAGGATGAACGATGAAATTAAAACCGAAAAAGGTGCCGATGGAAACAACTGCGTCTGATTGGCTGACTAACTAATGACATCACGGCTGCGCCCTTGGCTAGAAGTATCAGCTGACGTCTAAATCACATGTACAGCTGTGTGGGTGAATCTCACTTCATCACAAAAGAAATTAAAAGCATATTTTGTGTAAATAAAAAAAAGTAATTTTATTACATCATTGTGCTAAATTAGATTTATGCTAATTACTATGATAATGGTTTTTAAATTCTACATTTTGTGAAAAACATTTTTGACATTGTGGTAATGACAATGATTTAATGTTGTTAAGGTAATGAAATTGTATTGTCATTACAGCAATGTGAATTTTTTTTGTCATTGTGATAATGAGGATGTTATTGTCATTATAGTATTAATAGCCATTGTCATTTGGCTAATGCTCTTTTTGTGTCACGGTAATGACATTATTTTAATGTTGTCACGGTAATGAGAATGAAATTTTATTGTCATTAGAGTTTTGTGAATTAGATTGTCGGTCATTAAAATAATATGAAAGTTATTGTGATTATTGTGTAAATAGAAGACTTCATTGTCAATTGGCTACCATGATTTTTTGTCATGGTAATGACAATGGTTATTGTTACAGTAATGACAATGGGTAATGTTATGGTAATGAGAATGAAATTTTATTGTCATTACAGCAATGTCAATTAGATTCATTGTGATAATGAGAATGTTATTGTGTATTAGCCATAGTCATTTGATTAATGAGATTTTTGTGTCATGATAATGACAATGATATGATGTTAAGGTAATGAGAATTATATTTTTTTGTCAATACACCAATGTGAATTAGATTTTCTGTCATTGTGATAATTATATTGTTATTGTGATTATTGTATCTTAGCCATTGGCATTTGGCTAATGAGACTTTGTGTCATGGTAATGACAATTATTTAATGTTGTTAAAGTAATGAGAATTAAATTTTATTAGCATTACAGAAATGTGAATTAGATTTTTTGTTATAATAATGAGATTATTATTGTTATTATTGTATATTAGCCATTGTCATTTGGCTAACGAGATTTTTTTGTCGTTGCAATGACAATGATTTAATGTTGTTAAGGTAATGAGGACAACATGTTATTGTCAATACAGTAACGTGAATTAGACATTCTGTAATTATGATAATGAAAATTTTATTGTGATTATTGTATATTCACCATGAGATTTTGAGCTAATGAGATTTTTTTTGCCATGGTAATGACAATGATTTAATGTTGTTAAAGTAATGAGAATTACATTTTATTAGCATTACAGCAATTGGATTTTCTGTTATTATGATAATGAGATTGTTATTGTTATTATTGTATATTAGCCATTGTCATTTAGCTAATCAGATTTTTTTTGTAGTAATGACAATGATTTAATGTTGTTAAGGTGATGATAATGAAATTTCATTGTCATTACAGTAATGCAAATTAGATTTTCTGTCATTATAATAATGAGAATGTTTAGTGTAATTATAGTGTAAATAGAAGACTTCATTGTCAAATGGCTAAGAAGATTTTTTTGTCATGGTAATGACAATGACTTAACGATATTAAGAATAGGTAATGAGAATTAGATTTTTGTCATTATGAAAATTATTATTATTATTATTATTTAAATACAGAACTTCACAGTCAATTCGCTAATGAGATTATTTGTTACAGTAATGATAATGAAATTGTTATTTTATTGCGGTAACTAAGTAGATTTTGTCATTACGGTAATGAAAATTAGATATCATTGTCATTACACTAACATGAATTAGATTTTCTTTAGTTATTATAGTAATCAGTACAAGTTTTAGCCCTGCTAGACTGTCTAGTCTGAATTGAGGATAATGGGAATTAGTTTTTTTCTCATTACCGCAATTTGAATGAGATGTTTTTTTGCAGTACAGTAATGAGAATTTTGCACAGAAAAGTTCTCATTTTAATAAAAATAAGAACAAAACAAAAACGCAAAATATACTTTTTTTTCTTTTGAAGACATGCTCTTTGTAAGATGTCAACACAGCTCTGTGTCTTCCCGCGTTTGAACCTTACGTTACTGTATAGCGGCCCAAACAGTGACTGAAGAAATTCAAGTGCTGTCACACAAAAATCGTATCGCCACACGTGCACACACACACACACACACTTAAATACTTGCTACGATATAAATAAATAGTCAGCTGTCAGTGGGCAAGGGAGAACAGGAGGCTTGCAATAGAAGATCGAGCAAAATACACAGGAAACGGAAATGACGCCCATTGATGTAGTGCTGGACAATTTTTCTGCATGATGGGACTTTTCATGGAAGGTAAGAGCAATCTAGGCCTAGAAAACAAGCTAGCCGTTTTAAGAAATGTCCAGGGGTCAGTTAGTGTAATGGTACAGGACGAGGGCGATAACACTATGTAGTGACCTGACAATAAGGCACAGTGCTCTGTTTGCGTCGATCATTCATGCTGCTGAAAGAAAAAACTAGAACTCTGATGACAAATAGCCTATTATCGTTTTCCCTTCATTCTCTGCTGCTTCCGTTTCTGTCCTAAATGGTGCCAAACAGGAGGATTTTTGCTCTTTAGCACCACAGTATTACACTACTATAATTTGTTCTCCATACAAAGTCAACTATAGTGAGTCCATGAGGTCCTCATCGAAAACATAACGGTCGTCACAACTAGTAAACCCTCCAAGCCCAGTCTGCACAATGTCGCACCAAGCTGTTCTGTATCGACATCCAAGAAAATGTGACACTTATGCTGCACATCTGGAGGGGCTAAAATGGACAAGGTAGCAGTGCAATCATGGATGTATCGTCACAGCTCGTGGATGACGTGTAAATAGATGCGCTATTCTGCAACTTAAATATATTTGGTGCATGTAACATGAGTAAATAAACAGCATTCGATCAAGTCTCGGCGGCTGTCAAGTGCGCAGCCGGTATTGCACGTGGATCCATGGTTTTGGTCAGGGCTTTAGGGCGCATTCAAGATGGCAGTCGCTTGTCAAATCCATCAGTTTGAACAAGTGTCAGTCCCGAATCCTGCAACCAGGCGTGCATTGTGCAGCTGAGGCAAAGGGCGAGCTTTATCATTTGACTGAAGTGTGTTTGGTCCTTGTGCCCTTTCCTTGCTGTTTTTGTTTTGTTGTTGTATTCTTCTTAGCTAAATTGCTTTATTTTATTTTTTACAATTTTTTTGTTTTCACGATGGCTGAATGCTTCTTCAGTCCTGTTTTGTAAGAGAGGTGTGCTGTGAAAATGAATAGACGGGGATCTGAATATGCAGCCAGAATGCATTCCTGCGGCCCCTCACTGTGTTTGCTGAGGTATCGAGGGGCAGAGTTATGAGGACAGGGCGGGGTTTGAGGGGTCTTGAAGGCGGGGTTTTGAGGGAAATGGGGTGGAGCTTGGCAGTAGTCTCATAATTTTTGCTTTCCTGAGACGATGTTGCGATGAAGCTCTGCATTCAGCTCCACATACTGTCCTTTAGTGCAGTCCAGGAAGTAGAGTTTGTCGGAAACAATGTTGGGGTCGAATCCGTCCCGTCGCATGTCTGTCTTCTGGAATTTAAAAGTTCCTGAAATAAAATAACCCAAACAGTTAAAACAGCAAGCCTATACATAAACAGTTAACTTCAGAATTACAATACCATTGCGACTTTGAAGATTTATATAGTGCCTAAAGAAAATCGTATGATGAATTTATTTAGGCACTGTATAATTCTTCAAAGTTGAAATAAATAAATAAATAATTTGAAATAAATAAATAAATAATTACTTTATTTGTCATACAGCCTGAAATCAAATATATATTTATATATTTATATGTATGTATATATATATATATATATATATATATATATATATATATATATATATATATATATATATATATATATATATATATATATATATGCATCTTTACATACAACAGTTTATTTATATTTTTCTGGTTCTCGAATCTGATTAGTTGATAGCTGTAAGATTTTAAAGCAATATCAGCACTCATACAGCCTCTTCACCCTTGTGTATTACTCCACCCACACGAGTGGTGAGCAGAGGACTACAGTTAGTCAAATATTGCAACTGTTGGACAACATAATGTTCTTTTGAGGTATTTCAGGCAAGAATGTAGTTGTTTAGATTGCAACTAGCCAGTTTATTTATGAAAATAGTGCCTATTTTAAATATTTATAATTTTGGAGATACAGAGCAGAGCAAAGATGGTTGACATTCCGGCACAAGATGGCGACAGGCACCGCTTAAGTCACAGGTGTCAAACTCAGTTCCAAAAGGGCCGCAGCTCTGCACAGTTTAGTTCCAACCCTAATTAAACACACCTGATCAAATTAATTGAGTCCTTCAGGCTTGTTTGAAACCTACAGGTAAGTGTGTTGGAGCAGGGTTGGAACTAAACTGTGCAGGGCTTCGGCCCTCCAGGAATTGAGTTTGACACCCCTGGCTTAAGTCCTCAGTGGAGAAAAACAGCATTTTTTCAGTGTACGGTTCAAACTACAGCTAAACAAAACATTTTAAAACAGATAAGTCAATCTCTCCCTTTGTATTTTGTAGTGCTGTATTTACACCATAGTAATCTGGTAGAGTTTGCTTTACTCTTGACTTTTTCAGGGTTAATTGTTGTGATCTCCCGATTGCAACAGAGAACTATTGAGAACTCTCTGTAGATTTATAGCATTTCATGCCATTCAGCCTTATTATCTTAAAATGTGAGCAAAATTTTTTCATCACTTAAGCCATAAAGCTAGTATTAGAATAATTCTTGTGTAAAGTGATGTTTGTGAAGTAGCAATAGTTTCTGCTATTCTATTGCTCAGCTGCAAAGGTGTATGAACAGAGGATGAAAGTAGTTCCTCTTACAAAAAGATTTTTTAAGACTCTCTGTGTTTGATTTTCTTTTTTATATACACGATGGGGCCGTCAAACTATTGCACTCATATGATATTCCGTTTATACAATAAAGTCACTGGTGAGACACTAAAACACTCGGCCTGCAGCCTCTAGCCAACGCACGCCTCCCATCAGTGCCGACCTACAGCCATATCGCACTGCGAGTAAATATATATATATATATATATATATATATATATATATATATATATATATATATATATATATATATATATATATATATATATTCTTTTCTTTTTCCTTAAGAACAAATATAAAATCATTGCCAATACAATTAAACATATATGTTTTTAATTCTAAAAGCTGGAAAATATTTTAAAAGAACATGGAGCTGCTTGTTAAGCACATTAATTTCAAGTAGCATCAATAGATAATTTACTAGGATTATTCTTAGCCTGGCTGATAAAAAAAAATAAATCATAGTAAGTTAATATTTCTTAATTTAGCCTACTTTCATCTAACCAAGTCAAAGCTAAACTCAGCTGGGAGAGTTTGAATATTTCAGCTTAATCTTTTATCGTGCTTTTGTGCAATGCCCCTAAGATTTGTGAAATCTCACCTGTTTTGTCCACTTCTGGTAGAAAGCGCAGAAACACAGGACGGGCATAGGGTGGCAGGGCCTTCTCCAGGTCCCTGCTAAACTTGGCTAGGTCAGTATTGTTTTCCGGGTCTGCTATGGCTGCCATCCCTGCCTTACCTTCAGCACCTGAGGACAAAACATCAATAATAATCGCACAAGGGCAAACTTGGTTTATAACCTAAACCTTAACTGCATAAGGAAAGCCTACAGGCATGAAGAACCCTGAGCCCCTGTGGACTAAAATAACCTGTGTAAGGAGATCATTGCCTGGTCAGGTCGAGTGTCAGTGGTACAAGGACAGACATCTTTGAACTAAGGTAGATAGAGAGTATTGTATCTTACAACAGTCTATACTCTTTGGCAATCTGTTTTATGGCACATTGTACAAGATAAACTATTGATTCTTTGGTCCTGACACATATTGAACTAAACATGAAAAGGGACCAACTATGCCCCATTTACAAGATGTAAAATAAGTCTCTGATGCCCCTAGATTGTGGATGTGAAATTTCAGCTCAAAATAGCCCCCAAATATTTTTTTTATACCTCTTTGAACCCCCCCAGCCCCCAGCACAATATAAGCCCTTTAAGTAAAAACAGATGAAGGCCTCATTCAAATAGAGAAGTGTTTAGCAGTATACACCAAAAAGTTGTATTATATATGCATTTTGTCCAGAAGCAACTGGCGTATTGGCAGTATAATTTTTTTAAATCCTATGGCAAGATGAAAATGTCATTTTCAGATCGGTGCGAACACCTTATCTGTGTTTTGTGAAATGATGATGTCATCAGGCCACATCTCGTCCCTAGTCAGACACTGCTTTGTCATGTAACAGCAATAACAATGGCAGACTACATAAGTGTGTTTGTGCAGCAGAAACTTCTGAGCTTAACAGCTTTATTAAAATGCATTCCCCCATGTTCATCTCATGGTCTTTGTTCACAGTGCAATCTTCACCGCTATTTGTGTATCTCAATGAGAGAATTACAGCGCCACATACTGGTGAGGAATGTAAAAAAATTGCAAAAGGGAAAATCAATGACTTTGTGTGGTTGTAGCCTGATGGAGCAAAATATTTGCCATTTATCCTGAATCTCTTTCATATTCCAAAAATCGTCTCAGCTATTTAAAATTCGTGCAATTCAGTTTGTGAGTATGTGGTGTGTGTGTGTTTATTCTTACATCAAGAGTGAGAAAACACTGATGATTTTTAAACAGATTCTAGTTTATCAATTTGCATGTTGACCCAAAAATGTTTTAATATATACTACACACACACACACACACACACACACACTTACATGCTGTAGATCATAATTCTGCTAATGACTTTGTTTTGAAGGTGATTGTATTTTTCTTTCGGACGTCTGAAATGGACCAAGCTATATTCAGCACTTTGCTGCCATTCCTTTATAGATCTAGTGTAAGCAAAAACCAGAGACAGGCGAGGAGGAGACTTTGTTTGGCTCAGCATTCCCAGAATCCTCCAGGAGCTACTGCAGTCAGCTTTGTTGCAATTAATTATCTTCCCCACATACTGGCTGAACATCCCAAGGATCCATGAGACTTACAACTTAAAGGAATAGATCTCAGCAAAAACATGGTTTTATATAAGACTCTAAAATACATCATTTCCACTTTGAATATTGTTTTGGAAGAACACAAATTTCTGACTGTATTTATACGGAATTACTAGACTTTGCACAATTTTGTTTAGCAATGGTAAACAATATTAAAATGTCACTTTATTCCTAGCAGATTCTTTAGTAATTGTAATGTTAGCTCAAAACTAAAGAGAGCAGAGTAATTTTATTTAGCGAGACAAAGTTCAAATTATAAGCTGTGTTCTAAGTCACAAAATTAAGCAGGCACTACATTTAACTTGTTTCACATCCGTTAAAGTACATTCAAAATAGCATTAATATAAAGACTACAAATAGAATCCAGATGCACTTCATCTGTTATTTATCATTATCACATGACCAACTCACATTGAGTCACTCCTCTCTAGGGATGTGCAATAATTCGGAATCGAATCGCAATCGCAATTAGTTAAATCGCAAGAGGCTGTGATATGAAATATTTATGTATTATTTAATTTCCCCCTCTCAGAGCAAATACGTGACTGCTGTCTGTGTGTGACAGTCTTACTAATCAATTGAGAGAGCACACTTTCATTTGGCCCAATCAAAATTACGCAACATTTAACATTTTTTCTAGGCATGTACCACATTTTTATCAAAGTAAAAGTAGTTCAATACCCAAAGATTTTTTTCAATGCAATATTGTTGATAAAAAAAACACAAAAATGTAGTTACAAATTAAAATTGACCAAATTCTCTTTTTATTTTTTTTTCTAACAAAAGAGTAGTCAAAATTTCACAGACTGCTGTACAAGCTGTGCCAGATGCTATTAGCCAAAATCCCCCAATCAGAGCCTTTGGGCCCTATCATACACTCGGCGCAGTGTGGCGCAAGGCGTGGCTCAGTAGTCTTTTGGTAGTTTCAGCTTGGCGCAAGAGTCATTTTGAGGCGTTGCGCTACGCTGTTTAAATAGCAAATGCATTAGCGCTCATTTGTGCACCCATAGGCGTTCTGGTCTAAAAAGGAAGGCGTTCTGAGGCGGACCGCTGGCGCGTTGCTAATTTGAGAAACTATAATAGATTTTTCATTAGACCAAAACAAACCCGGTCTAAACTCCGGCGCAGAGTTGCGCCTAGCTTATGCACTGCTTAATACGCACAAGAGAGCAATAGGCAAATATCTTTACATATGAAAAAAATTAAATATTAAGGATATATATAGGATATAATAAGAATAGATATAGACATAAATATAAAGGATTAAAATATTACAAAACATATTATTTTCTAGCCTACATAAATATGAAAAATCACTGCTTTTATGTCTTCATCTCGGGAAGCTTTTTCAGTTCATTCATAACAATTTGCTTTTGTATAATGTTATTATTATTAGCAGTATTATTTTTTATAGCCATATTTATATTTGTTTTATTAAAAACAAGCTTAGATTTGTCCACCTGTCAGGTTTTAGACCATAAGGGGCACAGCATGTGTTTGAGGATATAACTCAGGTTTTTGAGCACATTTTGGTATTATTATTCATTTATTCGTTTGCTGGAAATTAGAACTGAATTTAGAAATAGTTTTGAAAAGAATATTTGCTCTTAATAAACAAAAGTATTTATTTATAGACTAATTGATGTCTGTGCGTAAAGGTTTCCCTATCCAAGAGCGAATGTGAAAGTAGTTCCATTATCTCTCATTCTCACGCAGTAGATGCTCTGTTTAACAGTTTTCTGTTAAAAAACTGTTAACTGTTTGCTTGTGAAATGCTCATTTTTTCCACTTAGACTTACTTTGCGTCCTGTAAATAGCGAAAGCGCTCTTGGCGCGACGCAGCTGACTCTTATAGGGAATGGGAGATGAGACTCTAATTGGTTTATTCTCAAAACACACCTATAACTCATTAATAAAATAAACTCAACCCTTTTAGACCATGCGCCACTGCGCAAGGCAGATTTCCCGTCCTTAAATAAGCAAAAACGCGTCCTGACATGCCCTGAAAGCGTTTGCGTCCTGTGTTTTGACCGTCAAAATAGAGCCCTTTCTGTTAAAATAACAGGTCACACTTTATTTTCATGGCCCGTTTGTTGAATTTAAGTTACATTGCATCTACATGGCAACTAATTAATTAGATACAAGATATAGACTTTTAGATTGGGGTTAGTGTAAGTTGGCATGTACTTGCAAAGTTTCTTATAGTCAGTTAAATGTCTGTTGAAGGAGCAGTATCAGCAGATATTAAGCAGACAAGACTCAAATGGACCATCAAAATAAAGTGTTACCAAACAATATATTAACTTTACAAACGTTTCAACCATTTGTATGCCCTCTTAATAGAGGCCCAAGCACAAACACTTAAAAAATATGTATCTTACTTGTGCATATATTTCTAGCATCTGTGTTAAAGCACACAATCAAATGGAGTTTACTTTAAACAATGGTCTCAAACTGAATTCCTGGAGAGCCGCAGCTCTGCATAGTTCAACTCCAACCACTTCCAACTCACAACTGCTTAAAAGTCTCTAGTAGTCTTGAACACCTTGATTAGTTGGATCAGCTGTGTTTGATTAGGGTTGGTACAAATCTGTGAAGAGCTGTGGCCCTCAAGGAATTGAGTTTGAGATTTATGCTTTACAAGAATATGTATTTGACTGTGTATCTTAAAAAATTAAAAACACTTGGGCTTATAAAAAGCTAAATTATTTGAAACTAAGCTATTTTTTGTTATTTGGTCCCCAACATACAAATGGAAGTTATCAGCTTAACTCAAGTTTGCTGCACAATAAATCACACATTTAAAGTCTGCGTGATTGGGAAGTTTTTGAGACTTATTCATTACTTCAAACTGAAATGCAATATTGAGTAGGGTGGAAAGCTTTCTTTTGCATATCATTCCATCATAGCAAACTAACTCTAAGAGAGGGTATTAACCTCAGACATTCATTGAAGATTACCAAAACAAACTTTTTTTTCAGTGTATTAACTTGCACCTATTATATATACACCTTAAGAAAAACAATGGGAGCTAGCAATTAAAACTTTTTTTAAGAATTTAAGGTCACTGATATGAAGACAAACAGCGAAAATAAACAGAAAAGAGAGAAGAAAAAAAAAAAACTCAGATTACCTGGCACCTCCACTCCGTACACCACCACATCTTTCATGTCCAGCAGTCGGCTCAGTGTTCCCTCAACCTCAGTAGTGGAAACGTTTTCTCCTTTCCAGCGAAACGTGTCTCCTGTGCGATCTCTGAAATACATATAGCCAAAGTCGTCCATCACCAGCACGTCCCCTGAGAGAAGAGAGAGAGTTGTTAATTTATTGCCATATCAGCTTCTCTTGCTGTTTTATAGCAAAACCAGATCAAATTTACAACATTTTATATCAGAACATTTTCACTTTTCTGTAATACAAAAACAAAAATAAAAGTATAGATACCTGACAAATATGCACTGTCTCCCTTTTTGAAGACATCCTGGGCAATTTTCTTATTAGTGGCTGTCTGATTGACGTAGCCATCAAATCGCCTGAGGGGGTCGTTCTGAATGATTCGACCCACCAGCTGACCAGGCTCTCCTGAAAAGTAAAGGAATGAATGTCAAATGAGATTGTTTTTGCATTCTCTGTAGTGCCTCAAGCAGTATGTAATACTGTCAGCTGATGCCTTAGTCAATATTAGGCATCATTATTGTTATCAGTGATAACAATGGCGATATTATTAGAAGATTTGTGTCTTTGCTTTCAAAATGACTTTTATTTTGACAGCACTAAAATATCAAAAAACAGGAACTCTCATTCTTAGTCTTCTATAGTTTGAGGTTTTTGATTAACAGATCTGACTTGCATGCAAGTATTGCATATTTTCACAAAATTATTTGAGAAAATATGAATCCTAGCTGGTAAGGTGGGTACCATGTTTTTTTTTTAACAATTTCTAAAAATGCCTAGAATTTGATTAATACATGGTCATCTAAATAATTATTCTTTATATGAAAATGAGTTAATGTTTCTTTCGCAATTATGCATTTTCAAAAATATTTCAGAAATTATTTAGAAACTATGTTAATTACATTTAAATCTTATGGCTCCATGTATTAATTCATGTGTTTTAAATGATAATACACCTTTATATTAGCCATCATGCTAAGATATCGACACTTGCCAACCAAAAAAAAGCAGCTATGCAGAAAAATCCAACTGTTTATATAAATAATATTTTATACATGGTAATAATAATCTGACTTTACATCAATAAAGGCAAATCAAACCGTTGAGACTGACTTTACAGCTAGGGACAAATAAAGAGACAGCTTAAAACGTATTTTCTCTCAGAATTTTCATATCTATAAAATGATCTATATCTATAACTTTTAAAGCAGCTATAAAAATGAATTTACAAGCAGATTTTTTTCTAATGTCTACACAGCTTCAATCAATAAATAAATATAAAGCAAATGTGACATTACCAGACTTCCAGGTTTATAAAAACTTGTAGTCTGATTTTTATGTAAAGAACTGTTATATCAATATGAAATGATGCTTAAGAATGCCTTTCTTCCTTCTTTCATGACACATATTATATTCCAAAATTTTATATAATATGATATAATATAATATAATAAAATATAATATAATATAATATAATATAATCAAAAATATGTTTTTCATTTTTTGACCGTTTATAACAAATCAAGCATTTTTAATCAGCTACTTTAAAATCATAAAATCTTTTGTGGGTCTACTCCATGTATCTTTTCTAAGGTTTTTATTTATTTTTACAAGATTTATTTTTACAAATGTTTAAGCAAGTACTGTACCTGGACCGCATGGGATACAGACTCCATCAGGTCCTCTGATGAGCTCCATGGTCTCCTCATCCACTTTGACCAAGCGGATAGGGTAGACATAGGGCAGGATTCGGCTATTAAATCCACAAGCACCTGTCTGAAATTAAAACATCATGTGTTCTCATTAGAATTGCAAAACTACTGTAAACACTATATCAAGCAACTATTTTTTCAATTATCTTAAAGAGTCAACATTACAGTATTATCAATATTATTATCTTTTATCCAAGAGAATTAGTGACTGGAGCGCATAATAATTGTACAGTTGAAGACCAAATTATACATTTTTCAAAGGTTTCCTAAGTGCTGCTTAATGGAGAGAATATTTGTTTCCAAGATCTTTTTAAACAATAATTTAACCACTAATTTCAGTTGTCTTTGCCACGATGACAGTACATAATAGTGGTTTTATAAGATACTAGTAGTGCCATATAAAAGTCCTTACTAAGTTAATTAGGTTAACTAGGTTCATTCGGTTAATTAAGCAAGTCATTAGACAAGGGTGGTTTGTTCTGTAGCCAATCAGGAAAAAATTATATCTGATTTTTTTTTTATATATCTGTTTAATTCTATTTAATTATATTTTTTTAAATGTTTAAAATCATTGTAATACAATCAAAAGATTTTTCTCCAGTAAAAAAAATATATATATATATATTTGCTATAAAACATTATTTGGGAAATATGTGAAAAAGAGCTAATAATTTAGTTTCAACTGCAGGTGCAAACTCGCATGTAAGCTGAAACTGACCTCTTTAAAACATTCTTCCAAAGCTCTTAGCTAAGCCAGTTAATTAATTCTAAATTTTTATTGCCAATCTCAGCCAATCATATCCTTTTGTTTTGGATAAATTTTGAAATTCCACAACCAGCTCCGACCAGATCCTGCTCACATTGACTTTTAATGACCAAAAATGCAACATATTAAAATAGGATGAAGCAATTTGGATACACACAAGATTGTGTGATTTTTACAAAAAAAGTGTAAATTCAATATACCGTGTTCAAGGTATACCACGGTTTGGAAAAGTCTTTTAAAAACAGTCAAAAACAGTTAAAAACAGTTTTAAAACAGTCAAAATTTTCTGTTAGACCATACCTAAGGTATGAGTAAGATTTTTTTATGTAGATTTTTAGTTTTTTATAGGACAGCAGTATCTCCAGCAGAAAAGATCTCCAAAGATGCTGTTTTAAATAGTTAAAAAAAATCTGTGTTTTTTTAAACAAATTAAGGCAGCAGAAGTCCATAATTCATTTAAATTATTTAGCCTGACACGTTTACTGCTCCAAAAATATTTTTAATTTTTGCCAAATTAAAATATATTGTGTACAAATGTCACCCAGACATTTAAAAATAATATATTTAGAGCAGTAATCTAAATACCGTGATATTTATATCCAAGGTTACATACCGTCAGAATCTTATACTGGCCCATACCTAGTTACAGGTAATAACATTGTAAAGAATGTTCCATTCTACTTCATAAGACCTCAGTGTATCATCAGTAGACACATGTATTCATTTTGCTTAGCCTATACATTTTTTTGACTATCAAAGTTTTGGTATCTGCTAACATATGTTATATGAATCACCAAGGACCATGGCTTCAGCTAAAAATCTTCTTTATGCTCTATTTAAAAAAATAGAAACGTCGTCTACAATGTCTGTGGGTGTGTATATTATCTTTAAACTGTCATTTTTGGGTAAACTATCTCTTTAAATATTCCATAAGCATACATGCTAGTTTATGATGGCCTCATAAAGTTTATGGTACTGCACAAATTGCCACAACCCCCAAAAGTGCATCTATCCATTTCCACATGCATTATCCAGTGTTGTAATGATTTACAAGAGTACTGCTCATAAAGACTGTGTACAGACACTCAGTCTAAAGTGTGTTTTTGTATGAACAGACCTTGTTGTCGAAGTTGCCCAGGCTACAGTTGCACTCAGTGGCACCGTAAAACTCAGCGATCTGTGGTACATTGAAGCGGTTGGTGAATTCCTCCCAGATGGACTGGCGAAGGCCGTTCCCGAGTGCCATGCGCACTTTGTGCTTGCGCTCCGTGTCCTTTCTGGGCTGGTTCAGCAGATAGCGGCAGATTTCACCAATGTACTGCACAATCTGAGATGTAGGACAAAATATAAGCACAATTTAAATCCAGGGTAACTTTAATTTGCAGTCGACACAACTGCGACACTAAATTTGAGGTCTGGAGTGTGTTAAACACTGATTTTGATTCTGTTGGATATATAAATCATCACATTAATATTCATCTATGACAGATGTTTCCAGTAGGCCAGTTCCCATAACTTGTGTAATTACTGTATACAAGTTTAAAGTATACAAACAAAATCTCAAAATTTGTTTAGTTTGTGTATTTAAACTCATTTACATTGTTTGTGTACTTACTTAAAGAAAAAAAAAAAAAAAAAAAAAAACGGTAAAAGTCTTAGAGCAAGGGTGCCCAAACGTTTTCTTGAAACGATGAAGGGCAAAGCCAAATTTGATTGAGGGTCGTGGGCCGAAGATAAATATCAAGTTGTATTAAAAGTAGCCATGGATAATTTCATCATTAATTTCAAAATAAATATGAAACATAACTTTGCTATATTAACTAATGCAAAACAGATATATTTTTTATTTATAATGTACCTAATTTAATGAAAACATAAGAATTTCATTTATAACACAATGGAGTTTAATGCCGAATACACTAGTCAAGCAACACCTGCCTTTGCTTTGATTTGCTCATTGAGGACTTCTGAATTCAGTTCAATACATGATTAAGTCTTTAGCGTTTTTACAATGTAGATTATCTCAAAAGTGCTTAACATAGAAGTTCTAGTAGATTAAAGCTGTGTCATACCAGTTTTCAGAGTTCAGTTTAGTTCAGTTCAGTGTGGTTTAAGTTTCACTGCTAAAAGTCCAAACAAACACAGAAGAGCAAATCCATCGATGAAATGCTCCACAAGTCCCATACAAGCAAGCAAGTGGCGACAGTGGGGAGGAACAAACTTCACCAAATTGTGAATTTTGGTCTATGCATTGAGCAACAGTATTGTTCATTTCAAAACTAAAATCATTTACAATATTAAACTGAAAAATTCAATTCAGGTTTGTCTTATGTAGCTCAAAAATAAAACTAACAAACAAAAGGTTACGTTAATTAGAATGACTCTATTAAAGACATTAACCCAAACCCTAATTTCTCCCTCTCTTCTGAGATGGGATGGCAGGCCCTAGTTTGGGCATCTCTGTCTAGATGGCCAAAACAAGACGAGCCAATTTTTGAACATTGTGTTACACGTTTATACAGTATATTAAATTTTTTTTTAAGAAAGAAATTAATTCTTCATAAAAAATTTCTTTATCATGAAAAAATTATATACATTTATTAATTAGACATTAAGCAAAAGAAGAATTAATTTAGGTGTCTTGCATACACCCTTATTCAAAAGTAAGAGGTTGATAGTTTCAGGGGTTAAAGTAAAAAAAAAAAAAACCTGAGCCTGAACTTTTGTTTTAATAACAAAAGTAAAGTAACAAGAGCTTAAAGTGCTTAAAAACTGGTAGAATGAGACTGAGATATGAGATTATGCTTTGCAATATTCATTTAAAAGTACTGTCAAATAAAGTATTTTCTTCTAAACAATAACAAGTGCTTAAAGGGCTTAAATAACAAGTGCTATAAAATGCTAAAGAACTGAACTGCTAGACTGAAGATTAGAAGTGAAATCAAGGCCATTATTACTCATTTTTTCTATTTTTCTTTTCTTTTTTCTGGGTCCTGCAAACACTTTCTTTTTAAGACATTTGGACAAGAAGAGGTCCAGTGGAGGAGGCTGAGGGTCTGCTGTTTGTCCAATCATGTTTTTTTTTTTTCTTCTGTCAAATGAAAATATCAGGCTACCTCAAAATCGATCACTCCACAGGAAATATGTATTTAATTAATGGTCCGCTGTTATTATTTCACAAAACCTCAGTCAACATTTTTAATAAAAGTAATTAGATTAAAGATAATGTCTAATGATTATGATTTATTTCCTCTGTCTTACTCTCGGTGCATGTGTGTGTGCGCTGCGTGCAATGGAAGAAAATGACAATGAACCTCAAGGGCTTTATTTTGAGGGTCCAGGCCCAAAGAGCAGGGTGCAAAAGCATTAACGGCGTGTCAGGTGTGTCAGAATCCACTTTCGCTATTTTAAGGATGGAAAAATCCACTTTGCGCCGTGACACATGATTTAACATGGTTGTGCTTATTCTCTTAATGAGTTATAGGTGTGTTTTGAGAATAAACCAATCCCAGTCTCATCCCCTATTCCCTTTGTGCCATAGCGTATTTGCTATTTACATTTATATTTATTATTTATATTTATGTAGGCTAGAAAACATTATTTTTGTAATATTTTAATCCTTTAATTATTTTTCCTTTGTAAAGATATTTGTGTATTGATGTACATTTATATTATGTATAATCCTGTGTGTATTAAGTAATGTGTAAGTGAGGCGCACAACTAACGCTCTCTGCGCTGGACTTTAAGTTCTGCTTTGATTTGGTCTATTGTGCCGGCGTAAATGCACACACGGCGGAGGCGCACTCTAAACTCACACAGGAGAAAACTTGACTTGTGGATAACATGAAGGTGCGCAGCCTAATTCATTTCATGTTTTGCCTAACTAATTCTTTAAATAAAACTCTCTTGAGCTATTAGGGGAAAACGTAGAAGAAATTTGTCATTAAATTAATTTTAGCAGAGATGCAGCTGCCAGTCATTTTCACATTAGTTTTTCAGTTAGGAATTAATATTAGACTAATAGAAATGTCTACACTATAAATAATTTTATACTTTATTTATTCATTATTATTATTATTTTTATTATCATCATTATTATCATTATTATCATTAAGCTATAAATTGACAAAATGCAGAATCCTTAAAAATATTTGCTTTCATTTTGACATCGCTAAAAGTCACTTTTACAGTTGTAAAGAAACATCCCATTATACAGCAGCAGTCTCAAGTTAGGACACTAAAAAATGCCTTTTGAGTTTAAAGATGATCGGCCTGCAAAGTCAAGTTTACAGTGTTACAATTTAAAAAGGTATACTGTGCGTATGTGGATTTACCGCGGATCCACCCCTTACATGTGCTGCAGGCTGAATGATAATCTAGGTAGATAGACAGGCTCTCTGTTTTGCTACATTAATGCCCTAAAATGTAACTAACACATTATTTTAAGTAACTACAATTTTTTTATAACATTCAATTGTAACATTTATTTTTTGCCTAATGCTGATATTGGTTGGGTAATAAAGCGTGATGACTTGGTTATGATTTAGTTTAGCTTGCATGTGTGGGCATAGTTTGACGTCTTTACCTAAAACTTTAAACATTTATATTATTTGTAAAGTAATACAGCTCTGGATAACTTGAAACAGCGACCACAAGTCTCTCCTCCATCATTAAAAGTTTGCCATAGACGCCTTGACAACCCAAACACTGCAGTCACCTCAACAGAAACCCTGCAGTGCTTTTATTTGACTGAAGAACGAAAATATACGATTTATATTTTTTCCTCACTGCAACACGCTGGAGATCCGGCATGATACCGGAATACTTTAAGCCCTGCATTTTAAATATTTTTGAAAGTCTTCAGGTTCATGGTGGCGAAGTAGGTGGCATGATCGCCTCACAGCAAGAAGGTCGCTGGTTCGAGCCTCAGCTGGGTCAGTTGGCGTTTCTGTGTGGAGTTTGCATGTTCTCCCCGTGTTTGCGTGGGTTTTCTCTGGGTGCTCTGGTTTCCCCCACAAGTCCAAAGACATGCGGTAAAGGTAAATTGGGTAAGCTAAATTGTCCGTAGTGTATGAGTGTTAATGAGTGTATAGGTGTTTCCCGGTGATGGGTTGCAGCTGAAAGGGCATCCGCTGCGTAAAATACATGCTGGATAAGTTGTTGCTGTGACGACCCCAGATTAATAAAGGGACTAAGCCAAAAAAGAAAATGAATGAATATTTTTTATTATTTTTCAATCTTAATCCTTTGTTTTCATATTTATTTCCTTATTATTTTTGTCAAAACATTTACAACTGTAACTTCTTATTAACTTTGGAAAATGTTTGGTGCATTTGGTGTTAAATTTAGAAAACATCCTTATTGTCACTTAATATAAATAATATGCAACTTTCATTCATTGATTTTCTTTTCGGCTTGGTGCCTTTATTAATCTGGGGTCGCCATAGCGAACTGATCCGCCAACTAATCCAACAAATGTTTTACACAGCAAATGCCTTTCTAGCCGCAACTCAAAACTGGAAAACACCCATAAACACTTGCATTCACACACATACACAACGGCCAATTAAGCTTACCCCAATCCACCTATAGCACATGTGTTTGCACTTGTGGGGGAAACCGGAGCACCTGGAGGAAACCCACACAAACACGGGGAGAACATGCAAACTCCACACAGAAATGCCAACTGATCAAGCCCAGGCTTGAACCAGTGACCTTCTTGCTGTGAGGGGATCATGCTACCCACTGTGCCACGTGACACCCATTATGCAACTTATTTAACTTTTTAACAACATTTTCACCCACTGAAATGACATAAATTCTCCATTATTCCACATGAATAGACATCCTTTACTTACAGTGCAGTTGTATTTGATACAGTCGTCCCAGAACTTTGAAGCACTGAACTTCTTCCTGATCACTACAGTCATTCCATGGATCAAACCCTGTCCAATTCCCACTATGTTTCCTGACGGACACAGACAACACACCTACTGATTACTTCCATAAAGTAAAGACAAAGAAAGTTCATTAAAAAGAAAAAGTAATTTCTTATTTTATTTAAACTGCATGAAAAACATACAAGCATATTAACAAACCACAAAGCTGTCACACAGGAAGTGGCCTGAAATGAACTCTGTGACAGGAAATGTGCACACATCATGAAGGTTTTGATCAGCCTGTGTTCAGTCACGTACCTGCAGAGTGGTAAAGCGGCAAACAGTCATAAAGCACATCCTCAGGCTTCATCCTAAAACCATAGTAGACCAAGGCAGCCATGCGGTAATACCTAAGGTAAAAAACAAAGAAGAGACCATGTTAAAAAAGGACAAAACACTGTAGGAAAAGGAGTATTGAACTATCACACACTTACCGACTATGTACAACAATAGCAGCTTTTGGCATTCCAGTGGTTCCGGATGTGTAGATGTAAAACAGCCGATCTAAAAGCAAAAGAAAAGGAGGAAGAAAACAATATATGTCATGCTTGTGCATGCTGATCCTTTTTTATTCCATTTTTTTGTGATCAACTGACCCTTCGCTAAGCCACACCCAAAAACCGACACACACCAATCGTGGCTTAGCAACCGTAGCTACGCACAGGAGGACTGTCAAGCTTGAGCTAGGGAAACTAGCTAAAGCGCTGTGCATATGGATTGTGGTAATCTGATACCCGATATCCTAAAAGTTTGGACAGGGTGGTGGAATTTTTTTTTTTCTTTTCAAAACCTAAAACACAAGGGGACAAATGCCAGCGTGGATCAAGCTCTGTGGGGGGCCGTAAAAGCAGCAAAATTCAGTCATATTTCCATCTGTTCAAGCTATTAATATTTGAATTACATATCAACAGAACAAAATAGAAATATGATCCCAAACTGAGGACTTGCGATTAATATACTTCACCCGCAGCTGTTTTTCAGTAATTTATAAGCCTTATGTCCATATCAGAGGTAAATTCAACAATGCTTTTGTCTGTCTTTTGGAGATTTAGTCATTGCTGACGACGTTATAGCGGGTTAGTTTCTGCTTTTATATTTGGTGTCTGATTAATATTTGCTGGTAGGGAAAATCTATTTATTGACTTCTGCTTTTCATACTTTGATTTGCATTTCAATTTATTTTTTTTGTCCACTCAACTGCAAATTAGAATAGAAACGGTATAAAAAGCACACAAACATACTGACAGTAATAGGTACTGTACATTGTTATGGGTCAATGATGCTAATATGTGGCACAAATCCATCAGTTTCCCATTTCTGGCTGTTAATTCTCTGAATGAATTATGTAGAAGCACTGTCCATGTTCGTTTCCTCATCAGTTAGTAACACTATACTTCATTGCACAACAATTAATCTACCGGGCTTTTAGGGAAAAGAGACAATGACGGTAATCATTGTTATTTTTAGATTATTTTAAAATTTCACCTCTCCTGCTGTGCATGAACTAAGCTGTTGAATGGTCAGCGTATGAAGTAGTTTCAATTTTGATTAAATTATTTTCTAATCGGTTGCGTATTATGTTGTGAATATACCCCTGTAATGCATGTCTGGCTTTTTTAGATATGTCACCTGTTCGCCAAAAATGACTAATTATATCCCTGGGAATGTCTGACACCGGCACATCCATATTGTAATAGAAATGCCAGGCATCAGTTCTTCATTACTGATAAACAATAAAAATCATAACTCCACATTACAGAAGCTGTGATCTGACTATTGCGAATGCACACATTGCGATATTGTTGATAAAACAATATATTGTGCAGCCATAATGCAAACAGTGGAATTTGACCTAAATTCAGACCCAATAAAGTTCCTCTCAGGACCTTCAAGACAAAAAAAATATGTCCCAAATTAATTCCATTTAAACTGCTATTTTAATCCCAGTGCCATTCAAACAAAATGTTATATGACCTTTGTCCACAGGCTTCCAATTTTTTAGTTGTTGCAAAATTATGAATATTTTGACTTTTTTCAGGTTCGCCCTGTGGAGCAAATCCAAATTTTTCTCCTGTTTTCTGCGTTAAGCTCCATGAGCCAAATCAATTTAAATTATGTAATTATGCAAACAACTATACATACAAAACAAACACATGGTTTGTTTGTTTTGTATGTACACAAAGTACTGAAATGTGCATGTATGTGTTTTACTTATTTAATATGAAAATGCACAAAAGTAAGAGTAAAACATGTAATGTTTCTTATTATTGAATTATCCAAGACTGTTATGATCATAAATAATCTGCTGAATAATAATAAATACTTCATCTTTTGTTTATAAGTGTTAAATTTCATTGCATTATGTAAACAAACTTCACAGGTTGAAATCCTTAACTCAATTAAATAATTTTTAAAATAATTTTTTGATAGTTATCTCTAGGACTGATGCTGGCTAAGAAATTTCTGGCAAGTTAGTTGGTAATGCCCTTTTTACCACAGAAATTTTGTTAACTCATATTCAACAATATTATAGTTAACTAAAACTAAAAACACACAATTAAATCAATTTTTAAATAAACTGGAGGTTGATTTTTTTCTATTTTGAGAGCATGCTACTTGCCTGTGAAGCTGCGATCTGGTTGTTTGGGCTGGATTGTACTAGTGGTCTCCAGGAGCGGGTCTAGATGCTCTGTTCCTACAGGAACCCGCTTAGGGTCCCATTCACCAGAGACGAAGAGCTTAACAGTCTTTCCCATGGAGCTGTGCACCTCACACATTGCTAAAACAAATAACATGCAGAGAAAAATAAATGAAGTCACCATCACAGGTACAAAACTACATATATAAAAGCTGGCCAGAAAGTTAAGAAATTTTAAATACCCGAAACTGAATATATAATGTAATGTAATATGTGCTTAAAAGTTGTAAGTTGTAAGCAGTTAGTTTCAAAGATTTAAAGTTAAGTTTGTAAGTTAGACAGACTGCTATGCAAATTCTACACCATTTGGTGGCTACATCATTGTTAGCTTTTTTGCCATTCTGGGAGGTTGCTAACAATGCTAAAATATTTTAGAACATTAACATGTAAGTACATTAACATGTTTCAACACATTGCTAGAATGTTAAAAGCTCATTTGACACATTGTTAGCACTGCTAGTAATTAGCATCCTAACTTGTTAGTTTCGGCATATTTATAGCATGTTACAAGCATGCTTAAAAACGCTGCGAGGAAGTTTTAGCACACTGCTAACATGTTACTAGCACATTGTTAGCATAATTTTCGCAGCATATTGCTGAAGTAAATTAACACTTTACTAATATGCCATAGTTACTTTTTAGTCTTTGCAAGTGAGACTCATTTTTATATTTTATTTCTTAGAAAAACCAAAAGTCTGATCATAGCTAACATAATAACATGACAGAATGAGTCTAGAAAACTTTACAGTGAAAACACAGGACAAGCAAACAAGCCTGGCAATGTTAAATCAATAGGAACTAAAGCTGACTCAACCTGGCATGCTTTATGAGTCAGTTTCCAATTACTTAAGAGACAACTTGGAGCTCAATTACATTAGGACATGTTGCCATCCATGACCTCTAGTATGAGTCCTTTTTGCTGCAGTGATGCTTGTTCACTGTGTGCTTTGACCTTTGACTGGGATAAATCTTCATTCTTTACCCTATGCTACTCATTCATTTGATTCTCTAGAGTACACATACTTGCCACTTCCTTATTTGCTTCTTGTAGTGTGTAACGCTTGCAACACTTCCTTCACTGACACACTTATATTCAGGCAACAGAACAGACATCATTAACAAAATAAAATCCTTGTCTAAAGTCAACATGAAATCATTATTTACCTTCTTGCTACACATTCCTTGTATTACAGTGCCATATGAATCAATGCATGTCATGATTCAATCCAAAATGGATTTAGTCTTTTAGAATAACACAAATTAAATAAACTAGTGGACTTTCTTTTAGAGTCTTCAAAATTTTAGATTCAATAATATAAATATCCTGTATCAACCAGTATTAATTTTGTTGATAAAAGATTTTTGTCATAACTTTTGTGACGAACAGGTTTCTACCCTCAAAAACTACATGAAAACTAAATGAAAATTAAATGAAAATTAAGTGATAATGATGACAACTATAATAAAAATATACTGATTTTTTTCGTTGACTAATAAAAATGAGACATAATATGAGATAATGTGATTGATGTTTTGTATGGAACACATATCATTTGCCAGTCAAATGTCATTACTTATTTAATCAGTGCTATATCTGAGCACCAACTATTGTAACACTAACTGCAAGAGCTTGGTGGACTAACATTGCAAATTGGACGTTAACTTTTTTAAGCCCTTTCAAAGAATTAATGGCTTGAAACTGTTCAACAGACTGGTTAAAAAAGACTACATTGCAGAAAAATGATTTTCATACTTTGAATTTTTGTTTTATTTCTAGTCCAAATATCTAAAAATTCTTGAATCCAGAAGAATTTTCTAGACAAACAAAACATATCGTCTCGTTTTAAGAATTAATATGCCAAAAATAAGTGAGTTTTTCCTTAAAACAAGCAAAAAAAAAAAAAAATCTCATGTCAAAAGGAAAAACAAGATTATTTTGCTTACCCCACTGGCAGATTTTTTTTGCTTGGAATAACTGACTTAGTTTAACTTAGTTATTTGTAAAAATGAGAAAATATGTTTTGCTTGCCTAAAAAATGCTTCTTGGTATAGGAATTTTTAGATATTTGGACTAGAAAGAAGACAAAAAAAAAAAGTAAGAAAGTTTTTTTGCAGTGTAGTAGTTTACCACTACTTTAAAATAAATATAAAAATTAAAATAAAGGGTTTGCAAAATAATTTCACAATCCTGCATTTTCAGTGGGCCACTGTTCTTACATGTGGATTGATTGCTGACACATAATTTTACATATTACTTATGACATACAGTTAAATTATTAGCCCCTCTTTGAATTTTTTTTCTTTTTAAAATTTTTCCTGAACGATGTTTAACAGAGCAAGAATTTCACAGTATTTCTGATAAAATTTTTTCTTCTGGAGAAAGTCTTATTTGTTTTATTTCGGGTAGAATACAAGAAGTTTTTTTATTTTTTATGAACCATTTTAAGGTCAAAATTATAAGCCCCTTTTAGCCATTTATTTTTCGATAGTCTACAGAATAAACTATCGTTATACAATAACTTGCCTAATTACCCTAACCCGGTTAACCTAAATAACCCTTAAGTTAAGCCTTTAAATGTAATTTTAAGCTTTATAGAAGAGTCTTGAAAAGTATCTACTGTAGTCAAATATTGTTTACTGTCATCATGGCAAAGATAAAATAAATCAGTTGTTAGAAATGAGTCATTAAAACTAGTATGTTTAGAAATGTGTTGAAAACAATCTGCTCTCCGTTAAACAGAAATTAGGGAAATAAATAAACAGGAGGGCTAATAATTCAGAGGGGCTAATAATTCTGACTTCAACTGTAAATAAATATTGCATATCTAATTTTTAGTCTTGAATGATAAGACTACATTCCATAATTTAATAAGACAATATTTTCATTGAATTACACTTAAATTAAACAAAATATATTTTAGTCAACTAAACCTCGAGTAGATTTAGTAGACTAAAATCTTATGAAATTTAGTCGACTAAAACTAAAATGATTAAGAAGACTAAAATATGACTAAAATAAAACTGCTTTTAAGTCAAAATACTATGACTAAAACCAAATCGAAATTTGCTGTCAAAATTTCATCATGTCACTATCATGTTGTATTATAATAGTAGCATATTTTACAACTCAGCTGTCATTGTAACAGATTAGTGCAATGTTTTACACACAGTTATCGTTTTTTTAAACATATTGCTATTGTAATACAATACACTACAAGATATGACACAATATGTGGCTACATGATATTTGAAATGATTACATTGAAATATTTAGCTTTTCTGCCAAACATATTATTATATGAATTCGATTTCAGAAAATGGCTTGAATAACTTTAGGCTGAATATTTTAGAATTGATGCAGTGAGTTTGTGTTATAGTGCATCTGGATAATACTGTATAATTAACTAGATTATATATATATATATATATATATATATATATATATATGTACGTACGTATATATATGTATTTGTACTTATAGTTAATAGCTGAAGTCAGAATTATTAGCCTCCCTGAATTATTTGTCCCGTTTATTTTTTTCCCCAATTTTTGTTTAACGGAGAGTAAATTTTTCAACACATTTCTAAACATAATAGTTTTAGTAACTCATTTCTGATAACTGATTTATTTTATCTTTGCCATGATGACAGTAAATAATGTTTTACTAGATATTTTTCAAGACACTTCCATACAGCTTAACGTGACATTCAAAAGGCTTAACTGGGTTAATTGGGTTAACTAGGCAGGTTAGGGTAATTAGGCAAGTTATTGTATAACGATGGTTTGTTCTGTAGACAGTCGAAAACAAATAAAGTTTAAAGGGGCTAATAATTTTGTCCTTAAAATGGTCTTTAAAAAAATGTAAAACTGCTTTTATTCTAGTCGAAATAAAACAAATAAGACTTTACGTATAAAGATTTAATAAGACATACTGTGAAAATTTCCTAAATCAGTTCAACATAATTTGGGAAATATTTAAAAAAGAAAAAAAAAATTCTAATAATTCCGATTTCAATAAATATATATATATATAAAGAAAAACATAATGTGCTTTAAATTTTTGGGAATTCTTAGTATTACATGATACAGATATTGCAGTAATACACATATTTATTCACTATATAAATTAAATGCAATTAATCTTTGTTAAAGCTACAAATGCTATAGTTTATGGAACCTGAATGCTTTAAACTCCAACCTTTTAATATAACAACAGAAAAAAGTATGCAAATTATGAACTTTAAACCCACAATGGGCAAACTTTGCAATTAAACCTACAAATTACATGCATTTCAAGTTGTGGTGCCTGGTTACCCTTGATTCCTACTTGACATTGTGCATCTTGCAATGCAACTGCGATGTCAATGCGATATATTGTGCAGCCCACAAATACATAATGCTGCTAATATTCAGGAAATAGTATTCAGTAATAAATTATTTCAAGACATTCTTTTTTTTTAAACTACTAACAATATAGAGAAGTAAACAAGTCTGGCAAATTCAAATCTAAAAATGACCTTAAAGGGCCCTCGTTTCAGCAGGGTGTTTTCACACCTCTACTTTGGAAAAAGTCAGAAAAGTGGGCGTGTCCAGCTCTGTTTAGGGGGGAGTGTCGGAGGAAGAAAAGAGGCTTGGTGTGGGAGTGTCTATTTGGGCGCGCTGAATTTCAGAGTCAAAACACACAACCACAGCGGACAATGTGACTGCCACTTACTGATGTCCCACTATGGAGAGCCCCTGAACCACTCATAGATGTAAGCTTGCTAAGTAAACCTAAAGATGAATATAATGGAAAAGAAGTAAACACGATTTTAAATAATAAGTATTATTCAACTTTACAAATTTTTACAGATGGTTCTAAAGAACCTAGTAGTAAAAAGATAGAAATAGGTGTTAATATTCCAGAGTTCAAAGTAAATATTAGTTTAAAATTGTCCAATAATCTATCAGTATACACTGCAGAGTTAACAGCTATAATTATAGCATTACATTGGGTTGAACAAGTCAGACCAAACAAAGTAGTAATCTGCTCAGATTCATCTTCAGCCTTAGTTAGTATAGCAAACTCAAAATCAGATAGAGAGGATTTAATAACAGAAATCTATTTATCTTTATATTGATTAAAGGAAATAGGAGTAGTCGTTTATTTTTGCTGGGTTCCATCACATATTGGGGTATCTGGTAATGAAGTTGCTGACAAATTAGCAAAGGAAGCACTAAATAAGCAAGAGGTGGAGGTAAATGTACCTCTGGGGAAAAGAGAGGCAAAATCGATTTTAAAGGAAAAACTAATAAATAAATGGCAAATTAGATGGGATAATAGTAATACTGGAAGATGGCACTATTTAGCATAGCTTTAGCATCTTTGGCCTGTCTCTTTTGAAATTGCTGAGGAAAATAATGTGTGTTGTTTTTATTTCAATTCACTGACTGCAATCACCAAATTCACTGTTTGATTTGATTGATTACAAGAGCTGGATTCACTGGTCAGATGCACTAGTAGCCCACTGAGAACATCTGCTGTTTACAAGGTGGTAATGCCAAGTGAAAGGCATAAACTAAAAATAAACAGACCATTATTGTTCATCAGCATGGACGTAAATATATTTATCGCTATATTTATTTATATAGTTATCATGCTTGTTGTGAACAAACCTTTACAGTGCCACATATTTCTGGCTTGTATACTAGGTTTGCATGTGACGCATAAGGGAAAGCTTTGAGTCATGTGGGTATAGCCTTAATCCCTGTTTTTGAAACAATGTAAACAGGTATAAACATGCCATCAAAGTAATGTTTTCATCAACAATAAGCATCAAATGACTTCTCACCTTCTGTTAGCTCACTGCCGAACACCACAGCTTTGGCGCTGGAGATGTTGACACAGTGAACCAGAGCCTCTAGTCTCAGGTTGAAGTTGATAAGTGCTGCCTCCACGCCGATCTTCGCCATGCCCAGCCAGAGGCCAACATACTGATGGCGGTTCTCCATGAACAGAGCCACCACATCGCCCTCCCTGAAGCCTTGCTGGAGTAAAAAGTTGGCCACGCGATTGGAGTACTCATCGAGCTCCTTGAAGCTCCATTTCTCATCCGTTCCTTCGAAAATCAGAGCTGTCTTGTTTCCATACTTCTTGACGGACTTGGCAAACAGTTTGGGCACTGTGTTGCGTTCACGTAGGTGTTTCTTGACATTCAGTTTTACCCTCAGCAATACACTGGCTGCACTGTAAAAAAAGGGGGTAGAGAAGTGATTATTTTAAAATTACAACATTTATATTTAATAAATATGTAATTTTTTTTTAAATGTAACCAAAACATTGAATAGTAATTCAAGTATTACAGTTTCCACAATGATATTGAGAACGTTCGAGGTTACAGAAGTAACCCTTCGTTCCCCGAGGAGGGGAACGGAAGTGCCATGAATGGGAGGATTCGGATCAGAAGCCGCTTATCTGGAGAGTATTGAACGGGCCAATGAATGAAATTAATTGGCAGCGTAAGCTTGCGCAGGTGTGCGACATCTGCAATCATCTCAGCATATAAGCACACCTGAAGCCAGCAGACGCCATCCTTTTAAGCTGAAGAGACTTTCAAACAGCTAAGGGACAGTCATTATGGCGACGGAATATGGCACTTCCGTTCCCCTCCTCGGGGAACGAAGGGTTACTTCTGTAACCTCGAACGTTCCCCTTCGGTTGGGGAACTTCAGTGCCATGAATGGGAGAATATGGAAAGCGCCATAATGACTGCACCTTACCAACACCCCCGATGAGGAGATAGTCAAGCAAGCGTGACGCACCCACATCATGGGGGGCGCGGTCCTCCAACGTGTCCCTGGCCCTAATTTATCCTACTTCAACAGAAGTTTTACGGATTTAGATATATTTTTTGGGAAGTCGTGAGCATCTAGATAATTCTAGGAAATACGACAGTACGTTGGGAAGCGTGCAATCCCGATAGGGAGGACGCTGCGGAGGCCATCCGTTACCCAAGGGGGGGATAGATGGCAGAATTTACCTATGGACTAGCCCTAAAAAGGGGGAGTACGCATAGCAAAGAGTGGTTAGCGGAGAGGGAAGACACGGGTCCGCCCAGGGGGGGGACTTAACCGTGGCGGAATAAGCATATGGGATCGCCTAGTGGGGATCACGCATAGCAGGCACCTATACCCAAAACGCGGGCTGACCAGCGGGCAGACCTACAACGTAGTGGGCCAGCAAGTGACTCCTCCGCTGAGTCAGTGCTGGGGGCCACGGAGGAATCTGCAGGGCTCACCTGACGGGGAACTTTACTGACAGATAAAAAAGGCGCACGTACCTCCGTGTTAGGGAGAATGGCGCAGCAAGCGTGTTTCAACACCCTACCGAGTTGTCTCCTCAATCACCAAAGGGTTACCTAATACCCTTGAGGAAACCGGCTCCACTCGCAGATTGTAAAACCTTGCAAATGTGTTGGGTGTCGCCCAGCCCGCAGCTCTACAGATGTCTGTTAGAGAGGCGCCGCGTGCATGCGCCCAAGAGGATGCAACGCTCCGAGTGGAGTGTGCACGTACTCCCGGGGGACACGGCTGACCTCGACTCGACACAATCCAGTGGGATAATCTTTGTTTCGATACGGCACTTCCCTGCTGCCGACCGCCATAACAGACAAAGAGCTGCTCAGATGATCTAAAATTCTGAGTACGGTCCACATAAATGCGCAGAGCGCGAACTGGACAAAGTAAAGAAAGGGCTGGGTCTGCCTCCTCCGGGGGCAGCGCTTGCAGGTTCACTACCTGATCTCTAAAGGGGGTGGTAGGAACCTTGGGCACATAACCGGGGCGGGGTCTCAGGATAACGTGAGAGTAATCCGGCCCGAATTCCAGGCACGAGTCACTGACCGAAAATGCCTCCAGGTCCCCGACCCTCTTGATGGAGGCCAACGCAACCAGCAGAGCTGTCTTCAGGGACAGAAATCTTAGAGATACTGATTCGAGTGGCTCAAAGGGATCGGATCGCAGACTCGTGAGAACGAGGGCGAGATCCCAAGAGAGCATGAGAGGGGGGCGAGATGGATTAATTCGCCTAGCACCCCTAAGGAACTGGATGACCAGGTTATGCTTTCCCACGGTGCCGCCAGCTACCGCGCTATGATAAGCGGAGATGGCGGCCACGTAAACCTTGAGAGTGGAGGGCGACAGCCTGCTGTCCAACTTCTCTTGAAGGAAAGAGAGCACAACACTAATCTGGCAATTTCGGGGGTCTTCTCTGCGAGAGACGCACCATTCAGTGAATAGACTCCACTTCAGGGCGTAGGCGCGCCTCGTGGAGGGGGCTCTAGCCTGAGTGATGGTATTAACCACCGCAGTCGGTAGGTTACCTAAGTCTTCCTCGCGTCTAGGGACCACACGTGGAGGTTCCAAAGATCGGGGCGAGGGTGCCAGATGGTGCCCTGTCCCTGAGAGAGTAGGTCCTCTCTCAAAGGGATCCGCCAGGGGAGGGCCGTCGCGAGGAGTGAGAGCTCTGATATCCCGGTCCGGTTGGGCCAAAGGGGCGCAACTAGCAGAACCTGTTCCTCGTCCTCCCTGACCTTGCACAGAAACTGCGCGAGCAGGCTCACTGGGGGAAACGCATACTTGCGCATGCCCCGAGGCCAGCTGTGGGCCAGTGCATCCGTGCCGAGAGAGCCCTCGGTCAGGGAAAAAAACAACTGGCAGTGAGCGTTCTCGGGGGAAGCAAACAGATCGATCTGGGCCTCCCCGAATCGCGCCCATATCAGCTGAACAGACTCGGGGTGGAGTCTCCATTCTCCAGGGCGTAACAGCTGTCGTGAGAGCGCATCGGCTGCACGATTGAGCGTGCCTGGGACGTGAATGGCGCGCAGCGATTTCAGCCGCGGGTGACTCCAGAGGAGCAGACGGCGGGCGAGCTGAGACATGCGGCGAGAGCGCATACCCCCCATGCGGTTGATATACGCCGCCGCCGCCGTACTGTCCGTCCTGACCAGCACGTGTTGCCGCTCCAGCACCGGTAAAAAGCGGTGGAGAGCGAGGAACACTGCCAACAGCTCTAGGCGATTGATATGCCAATGCAGCTGGGCACCCTTCCAGAGGCCCGCAGCCGCATGCCCGCGACACACGGCCCCCCAACCCGTGTTGGAAGCGTCTGTTGAAACAACAACATGGCTGGACGCCTGTCCTAGAGGCACACCGGCCTGTAGGAACGAGGGGTCGTTCCAAGGGCTGAGGGCGCGGCGACACAGCGCAGTAACCGAGACCCGGTGTGTGCCCGCGTGCCATGCGCGTCTGGGGACCCGATCGTGAAGCCAGTGCTGAAGTGGTCTCATATGGAGCAACCCGAGCGGCGTGACGGCGGCTGCGGATGCCATATGCCCCAGGAGCCTCTGAAAGAACTTCAGTGGGACCACTAGTTTGCTGTCGAGCTCCCTCAGACAGTTCAGCAACAGGCGAGCGCGTTCCTCGGAGAGGTGCGCTACCATGGTGATCGAGTCCAGCTCCATCCCGAGAAAAGAAATCCTCTGCACGGGGGCGAGTTTGCTCTTTTCTCGGTTGACCTGAAGCCCCAGTAGGCGGAGATGCCGAAGCACCTCGTCCCTGTGCATAATCAATTGCTCCCGCGAGTGGGCTAAAATCAGCCAGTCGTCGAGATAATTGAGTATGCGAATGCCCGCGAGCCGAAGGGGCGCTAGGGCACCCTCCGCGAGTTTGGTGAAGACCCGCGGAGACAGAGAGAGCCCGAAGGGGAGGACCTTGTACTGCCACGCTCGACCCTCGAACGCAAACCGCAGAAATTGGCGGTGGCGTGGAAGAATGGAGACATGGAAATACGCGTCCTTCAGGTCTATGGCTGCAAACCAATCCCGAGGACGAACGCATTGGAGAATGCGCCTCTGCGTGAGCATTCTGAACGGCAGCTTGTGCAGACAGCGGTTCAAAACGCGCAGATCTAGGATTGGCCGTGACCCACCGCTCTTTTTGGGTACGATGAAGTATGGGCTGTAAAACCCACTCTCCATCTCGGCTGGAGGAACCGGCTCGATTGCACCCTTCGCCAGGAGGGCAGCAATCTCCTCTCGCAAGACAGGGGCGGACAGGGGGTTGACCCTGGAGAAATACACGCCCGTAAACTTGGGGGGCCGTTTCGCGAACTGAATCGCGTAACCGAGTCTGATTGTGCGTATGAGCCACCGCGAGGGGCTGGCCCGCGCTAACCAGGCAGGCAGAGCCCTCGCTAATGGAGTCATCGCTACAATCGCTGACGTACCAGCGGTGGGGCAGCGCGGAGTGGGTGTGCTGATCCGGGAAGCACGAGGGTCCCGCGGAAAAGCTGGAGGAGAGCGATTCGCTCTGGCTCCGCACCCTGACTCCGGAGAGGGGGCTGGAGGGCTGAGGGAAGGGAGACCGTCCCCCCAGCGCTCGTGAGCCACTGGCGAAGCACGTAGAGTCTGCGAGCCGGAAGGCAGCGCGTCCCGGACTGGCAGAACTCGTGCAGTCACATCCGGGGAAGGGAAAAAGTGCTCTTTTACTGATGTTTTGGTGGCACTGAAAAGTACCGTTGTTATCGGGGCCCCGCCCTCCAGCGGGGAAAGAGCAAGTTTCCTCTTCTCCGGATGGCCTGTCTCAGGGACGCTTCGCGGTCCGTTTACCGGACTTAACGGCGCCCTGGGCAGGAGGGGCTGCCTGCTTTCGAGGTGAACGCCGCGCCCGCTTGGCCGGAGGCGCAGGCGGGGGCGGGGCAGCACTCGTTGGCGGGCGCCCTCGGCGAGGAACAGCGGAGGTGGATGGCTCGGCGGGCGGAGCGGGCTTACGGCCACGCCGATAGATGACATTGCCCATCGCATCCGACTGCTCTTTCACCGCCTTGAATTCCTGGGTGAATTCACCGACGGTGTCGCCGAACAGGCCAGCCTGGGATATGGGCGAGTCAAGAAAGCGAACTTTGTCAACGTCGCGCATATCGGCCAGGTTTAGCCAGAGGTGGCGTTCCTGAACCACAAGTGTGGACATCGTCCTCCCCAGCGCACACGCGGCGGACTTAGTAGTCCGAAGAGCATAGTCGGTCGCGGTGCGCAGCTCATGTAATAAGCTTGGGTTGGACCCGCCCTCGTGCAGCTCGGCCAGCGCCTGCGCTTGGTAGCGCTGGTAGGTGGCCATCGCGTGCAAAGCAGAAGCAGCCTGGCCCGCAGCCTTATAAGCTCTGGCTCCGAGGGAGGCAGACAACCTACA